TTTGGGGGGGGCCCCCCAACCAAAAAAAAATTTTTTTTGGTGCCCCCCTCAAAAACCGTAAAATTTTGCCCCCTTTTTTGGGAACCATTATGTTAAATTTTCGGAAAACCGGGGGAAGGTTTTTTCATTTTTTACAAACCGGAAAAATAATTTAAAACCATAGGGGTTTAATCCCCAAAAACCAAAAAGGGAAATTAATATTGGGGTTTTCCGGAGGGTTTTAGGGCGGCCCCCTGGGAGGAGGGGCCTTTGGCCCCCAAAAGGGGGCCGCGCCCCCCCAGGTGGAGGACCCGCTCCTCTAGAGTCTAGGGTTCCCTGGGGCCCCCCCCCCCCCCACACACACACTTGCGCCCTTCGGGCCGCGCCGGGCTGGGAGGGGGGAATTTGTCTAGGGGCGGCTGGAGGAAGGGCCCAGCCCTGCTCACCCCTCGGGTCTCTCCTCCTCCTCCCTCCCCGCTGCGACCCCCAGGACGGAGGGCCTTTCCTAGGACCCGCTCTCCACGGCACATCTGTGGGAGAGGAGGGACGTACATTCGGGAGAGAGTGGGACGTGGGCCGTGGGGCTGGGGTGTTAAGTTGGGGGGACGGGCTGTGAATGCAGGCTCCAGCTGTGCAGACTACCCATCCTTTTCTTGGCTCCAAGGAGAAAGGCAAGCCTGGCAGCCATTCCTCTCTGAGGAGGTCTGGGCGAACCCCACCAGCCGGCTGCCCAAGCTGCTGAGGGGACGAGGGAACCACTGCCCCCCGCCCCCTGCGGTGTCCTCCTGCCTCCGAGCTGGATCTTACCCCGCCCCGCACCGCAGTGACCTCCCCTTCCTCACTGCAGTGACCTTCTCCTTTCCCCCTGGAAGGGGTGGGGGAATCCCTTCTCCAGCCGGTGGTGGCGGCCTGCTCCTCCCCACCCCCACCCACTGCAGTAACCTCTTTCCCATCCTCCTAGCCTCTGGCCCCGCCCACGATCTCAGGCTCCACCCCTCTAAGCCTCTTACCTTTCTCCTTACTTCCCTTCCACCCAAGGAGATCCCAGCCATCATGTCGATAACGAAGATCTGGGCCCGTGAGATCTTGGACTCCCGTGGAAACCCCACTGTGGAGGTGGATCTCTACACTGCCAGAGGTACTGAGCTGGCCCGGACCGAGCCCGGCCCTCCGCCCCGACCCCCACCCCACCCCCACCCGGACCCCTCAGTGCTGGGTTCGCCCTGGCCTGGGAGGGGAAGCTTCCTTGATTCCCAGCAGGGATGGGGTGCTGGGTCAGGCTCTTGGCCTGGATTGTGGGGGTTGGATGCTGTTGTCCAGGGGAGCCAGGATAGGCAGGCCTCCGTGTTCTAGTTTAGTGTATGACACTGCCCTGCCTCTGCATGTTTGTGTATGCACCTGTGTGTGAGCATATGAGTGCATAACTTCATTTCTCTGGGTTCCTACTGGTGCATGTGGGAACTCAGTTGGGTGGATAAGGAGGCCCTTCCGTGTGTGTGTGTGTGTGTGTGTGTGTGTGTGTGTGTGTTAGGGAGCAGTGTGTGCATGTGTGTATGTATTATGGAGTAGTTGCGTATTAGGGAGCTGTGTGTATCTCTCTGTGTGTATTAGCAGCAGTGTGTGTATTATTAGGGAGCAGTGTGTATATATGTGGGTGTATTAGGGAGCTGTGTGTGTGAGAGAGTGTCTGTGTGTGTATTAGGGAGCAGTGTGTGTGTGTGTTAGGGAGCAGTGTGTGCATGTGTGTATTACGGAGTAGTTGTGTATTAGGGAGCAGGGTGTATATGTGTGTGTGTATTAGGTAGCAGTGTGTGTGTGTGTGTGTGTGTGTGTGTGTGTGTGTGTTAGGGAATAGTTGTGTATTAGGAAGCTGTGTGTGTATTTAGGAATAGTGTGTGTATATTAGGGAGCAGTGTGTATTGTGTGTATTAGGAGCAGTGTGTATATATGTGGGTGTATAAGGGAGGTGTGTGTATGTGTGTGTATTAGGGAGCAGTGTGTATTGTGTGTATTAGGAGCAGTGTGTATATATGTGGGTGTATAAGGGAGGTGTGTGTATGTGTGTGTATTAGGGAGCAGTGTGGGGAAAGGGCTGGATGTGGCAGGCAGGAGTTTAGAGCTGGAGGCTAAATGGATCCCTGGTCCCTGGTGTCTTTCTCTCTTCCTCCTCACCCCATGTTCCTCTCCCAGGTCTTTTCAGGGCCGCAGTGCCCAGTGGAGCCTCCACTGGGATTTATGAAGCCCTGGAGCTAAGGGATGGGGACAAACAGCGTTACTTAGGCAAAGGTGAGGCCTTCTCTCTTTCCCAAGCTTTCTCACCCCTCAGCTTTATATTCCGACCTCACACCAGTCCCTAAGCCTCTTCTTGCACCCCCCCTTTCCCTCTGGCCCCTCCTGGCCTGACCCAGCCTGGCCTCTTTGCCTCTCCCCAGGTGTCCTGAAGGCCGTGGACCACATCAACACAACCATTGCACCAGCCCTCATCAGCTCAGTGAGGCTCACTCTTTGCTGGGAATGGCAGGACCAGGGTCCTAGAAGGAATCTTGGGCCAGGGGAGGAGAAGTGGGGGCGGGGGGGCGGGGAAGGCCCACCCCTTGGGAATCATGGTTACTAAGGGAAGGTGGGAAGATGACCCCTTACTGTCCTCTGCTCCCGTGGGGGCTCAGGTCCCCTGATCCAGACAGGCTGCTGTCGCAGGAACCTGGTTGGACCCTGGCTGGATGTGAGCCTGTGTGAAGGGGGGCCCTGTGTCTTAGGGCCCAGCCTCCATTCCGGCCTTGGGTGATGGTGGCTCTGCCTGCAGGGTCTCTCTGTGGTGGAGCAGGAGAAGCTGGACAACCTGATGTTGGAGTTGGATGGGACAGAGAACAAATGTAAGCAGGGGCCGGGAGAAAGTGAGGAGGCCGAGGGTGGGGAGGTGTGGAGCAGAGAGAACTGAAGGGGCCAGCGCTGTGGGAGCTTCCTGAGGATGGACTTTTCATCCTACCCCCAAAATCAGAGCAGGAGAAGATGAGTTTAACTGCAGTTGGGGTGTGTGTGTGTGTGTGTGTGTGTGTGTGTGACATTAGACTATTAGACCGAGGAAGAACTTCTTTGAAGCATGAAGGGGAGGGAGTTGGCATGAGATAGTCTGATCTTGGGGTGGTTAGAAATAGACGCAGCTCTCTGCCCTTTCCTGTCACCTCGTCCCCAGCTCCCCCGCTATTTCAGGAGAGAATGACTAGATGTTGCACAGAGGAGGGAGAAGGGGGGGTCTCCTCTATTGCCTCCTTTGGGGAGTATAGGTGGTGTCGGGCTAGAAGAGGAAGGAGACATTTTTGCTTAGTGCCTTCTTCTGTCATCTCCCAGCCAAGTTTGGGGCGAATGCCATCCTGGGTGTGTCCTTGGCCGTGTGTAAGGCAGGGGCAGCCGAGCGGGAATTGCCACTATATCGCCACATTGCTCAGCTGGCTGGGAACTCAGACCTCATCCTGCCTGTGCCGGTGAGCACCCCGCCATGCCTGTACCTCTCCCAGGGGTGGGGCCCAGGGGAGCATGAAACCTTGTGAAGACTGATGGGAGGACAGGGAATCGGGGTAGCTAAAGAGAGAGGATGGGGACATGAGACTCGGAGTCTGGGAAGCTGGGAGGGAATTGGGATCTTGGGTGGACGCTCCCAGGGGCAGAAAGGAAAATGCTCGGTGACTGTCTGTCCTGTGGCTCCCAGGCCTTCAACGTGATCAATGGTGGCTCCCATGCTGGGAACAAGCTGGCCATGCAGGAGTTTATGATCCTTCCGGTGGGTGCCGAGAGCTTTCGTGATGCCATGCAACTTGGGGCGGAGGTCTACCACACGCTCAAGGGAGTCATCAAGGACAAGTATGGCAAGGATGCCACCAATGTGGGAGATGAAGGCGGCTTTGCCCCCAACATCCTGGAGAACAGTGAGGGTGAGACCAGGATCCCCACTCCCAGCTCTGAGTCTCACTTCATCCTGGGCCATTGGGAAGGGCCACATACTTCCCCACGTCCTGAGGAGTATGGGTGGTGGTCCTTGACTCCTGCTAGCTCCAGAGGGCCTGCCAAATTCACATGCAGGCCGGGAAGAGCAGTCCTCACCTGCCCAGCCAGGTTCCTTAGCGACTATAAGTTCTCACCGGAGCCCCTGGAAGTCCTGGAAGGTGGTCTAGGTCTCCTGTGGGATCCATGCCAGCCTTTAACTCCATAGGGTTCTCAGTTTGATGAGATATACCAAACTCTAGGTAACCTATTCTAAATCTATCCCACTCTCACCCCAACTTCGTAGGCCTTGAGGATCTCTAACTTTTTTCTGCCCTGGGAGAAACTGTATAGTGAATAGAAACAAAACCCAAAACTGGTAGTGGCTAAGAGTTAAGGTTCTGAGGCCAAAACTGCCTGCCTTTGAACCTTGACTTGAAGACTTACTGGCTGGCGATCTTTCTTACTTATTTTGTCCATGCTTTGTCTTAAAAAAAATATTTTTATTGATTTCAGAGAGGAAGGGAGAGGGATAGAGAGAAACATTAATGATGAGAGAATCATTGATCAGCTGCCTCCTGCATGCCCCCTATTGGGGATCCAGCTGGCAACCTGGGCATGTGCCCAGACCTGGAATGGAACCTAGGTCAACACTCAACCACTGAGCAACACCTACCAGGCCATGCTCCGTCTTTCTTATCTGTAACAGCGGAACACTAATAACAGTATCTACTTCATAGCATCGTTGTGAGGATTAAATGAGATCATAGAGGTGAAATGCACAGTTAGCCCTCAATAAATGATAGCTATTTAAAAACACTGTTATTAACCGAAGGCATCCTCTGCCTTCCTGGGAGATGGCCTGCTCTTCCCAGACCTGGGGATAACCCTGACCAGAACCTTAGCCAGACTCCTCCGTAGCGAGTGCTCTACCACGGCCCCTCATTTCTTCCTCTCTCTCCTTCCTCCTTGTCTGCCCTTCCTGCTAATAATCTCGCTGTGTTTCATCCCCAGCCTTGGAGCTGGTGAAGGAAGCCATTGACAAGGCTGGCTACACGGAAAAGATTGTCATTGGCATGGATGTCGCTGCCTCAGAGTTTTATCGTGATGGCAAATATGACTTGGATTTCAAGTCTCCTGCTGACCCTTCCCGATACATCACTGGGGACCAGCTGGGGTCCCTCTACCAGGACTTTGTCAGGGACTATCCTGGTGAGAGCAAGGCGGGGCATGGAAGAGAGTGCAGGGGGCGGGCAGCAGGACCTTATGGGATGCCACCCCAGGTGCCAGGTGCAGGTGTCCTAAGAAGAGACTGAGAGCCAGGGATGGGGTGAAGTCTCCTGCAGAGCCTGGGCTTTGTATGGAGTCAATGTGCAGGTCCCTGTGATGAATTTGTTCCATCTGCTTCAGCTCCTGATTAAAGTCATGTGCTCGGAAGCTTCTGGGGTCATGGGGAAGGCTTTGGAAGAAACCAGGGATGGTGAGGTGACTGGATCTGGCAGGGAACCAGCCATTTCAGTGTTTTTGATAGATAAAATTGTGGATGCTGAATGGAGCTGGAAGTGATGTGAGAATAGAAGGCTGATGAGGAACTGAATTATCCTTCAGTTCTACCAGAGCTTTAGATATAAATTGCAGAATGAAGGATTTTGATTAGTAATGAGGAAGGGCTTCCTGGTAGTGAAAATGTGAACATGCAGATAGGTTGTGAGAAAGATTCGGAACCCTTGTGTTTTGAAAGTTTATGAATGAATCATGGTAAGACTCAGTTAGGGCAGGCTTATTGGGGATGGGGGAAGCCAGGAGGAGCAGCTCAGTTAGCCAGGGGATCTGGCTATTTCAGGGAATCAAAGTGTGTGTGGGGGGGTTCCTGCCTGGTGCTGCCTGGTGCAGAGCCCCAGAGAAGATCAACAGCCCCTTCACCCCTCTCTCTGCAGTGGTCTCCATTGAGGACCCCTTTGACCAGGATGACTGGGCTGCCTGGTCGAAGTTCACGGCCAATGTAGGGATACAGATTGTGGGTGATGACCTGACAGTGACCAACCCAAAGCGTATCGAGCGGGCACTGGAAGAAAAGGCCTGCAACTGCCTGCTGCTCAAGGTCAACCAGATCGGTTCAGTCACTGAAGCTATCCAAGCGTGAGTGCCTCCTGGTTCTCTCCTGCTCAGCCCGTTTCTCAGGACCCCTCTTGCAAGGGCTCTACGCCCAATCCTGCCCACAGATGCTGAAGAGAGCAGGGAACCTAGAGTCACCTTCATAGCCCTCCGTTCTGCTCCCTCTGGGTTCCGAACTGATTCTCTGCTTCCCTCCCAGACAGCTTCCCTCCATATGTTTCTTAACATAGACCAACGTTGGGGCTGGGAAGAGAGTGCCCAGTGTGAGGGGCTGGGGGTCAGTGCTGGTGTATGGATACAGGTGCAAGCTGGCCCAGGAGAATGGCTGGGGGGTCATGGTGAGTCATCGCTCAGGGGAGACTGAGGACACCTTCATCGCAGACCTGGTGGTGGGGCTGTGCACAGGCCAGGTGAGTGCAAGGGAGATCTTCGTGCAATTGGTGGGTTCTAGGCTCAGGTGGGTCTCTCCTTCCAGGTGTTTGAGGGTGTTAGGAATTTCAAGGGAGTGAACGTTTCCTTTAAGGAAATGAAGGGGCAGCCACTGAGCTGCTCATCTTTCCTGATGTTTCAGATCAAGACTGGTGCCCCGTGCCGTTCTGAGCGTCTGGCTAAGTACAACCAGCTCATGAGGTGAGGGAACCTGGGGAATGGGAGCCCGGGCTCAAGGTTAGAAGCTCTGTTTGCCCACCGTTCCATATCCAGAGAAGAGTTCTGAAGGACGGGTTGACTAGTGGCCTGATGGATGGATCCCACAGGTCACGTGGGAGAGCCAGGGAAGGCCCACACTTGGGCCAGGGCACAGGAGCAGGTGGTGTGAGGGGCTAGGAGACTGAGGGCCTCCTGCTCCCCTGACGTTTCCTTTCTGGCTCATTTCTCTCAGAATTGAGGAAGAGCTGGGAGACGAAGCTCGCTTTGCCGGACACAATTTCCGCAATCCCAGCGTGCTGTGATCCCTCTACTCTCCTGGAGACTGGGACCCCCTCCACCCTCCTGGAACCCCTTCCTGTCCTGCTCTGTGATATTTCACCCCAGACACCCCAGCTGACCTGCCGCACGGCTCCTGGGCTTGTCCCACCCCTGCTGTCTCTACTCTCCCCCTCTGGGTTCCACACTCTTCACTTCTCCTCTCTTCCTTTTCTCTCTCCTCAAAGACTGGCCACAGGACTGAGGATTATAAGGGGGTCCGTGGAAGAATGATCAGGGTCTGTGACAGGAGCATCAGGGTTGGCTGCTGAGGTGTTCAGGGAGGGACCCTGGGTCACTTGTGCTTTGCACCTGTTCCATGTGTTTTCCACGTTGCAGATGAGCCAGGCACTGCATGGTGCTGAGGTGGAGGGAGGTGCTGGCTGCTGGGCATGCCTGCCCTGAGGTTTTAGTGTGTTATTTATTTATTTATTTATTTATTTATTTATTTTTCACTCATCCTGTTGATTATTCATTTCCTCATGACTCCAGGGCCAAAAACTGGCCTGGCTGGAGGGGACTATGTATTTCATATGGCTATAGATTCTGAGATGGTCTGGGATGGAAGTCTTGCTGGAATGCTGAAGGGAACAGAAAAAGGCCTTGCTGGCAGTTCCTTTGTGTGTAGCAACCCTTCACTGAAGCCTGGCTGGGGCCAGAGATGGGGCTGTGCGCCTGGGGACTCTTCCCCGGAACTCTCTTCCCAGCCCTACCTTCCCTGTTCTTTCTCCAGCTGCCCCAGAGCAAGGTCTTGCTCCCACCATGCCATGTTCCACAGTTCCCACCACCTCTGACATTGAAATGAACACCACCATTAAAGTCTGAATCACAGTGCATTATTGTGTCCGAGGAGTCTGACTGTAGTTCATATGAGGGGAGAGAAGATGGTGACACTGGATAGCAGAGCTGGGGAGGGCACAAGAGGAGGAAGACAAATAGAACAAATATGGCCAAGATGATGACATTGCCTCCCCCACCCTAGCCAGGTGAGGGCCACGCTGCCCCTGCCTTCTCAGCAGCAAGCTTGGCCCCAAGATCCAGGTGAATGAGCAGTTCTTAATCTGGTGCAGGAATTCTTCAAATCACCAAAAATGTGTGTATGTGCATTTTGGAGGAGAGGTGGCCACAGTGTTTTCAGATTCCCAAAGAGCCTTGACCAGAGAAGGGATAAATCTGTGAACTAGAGCAGCTCCCATACTGGGCCTCTCCAAACCCCAATCCTGTCTGCTTCGGGGATGGAACAGCATTGCATGGCCACCACTCCCTGCAAGGTGGGGAACCAGGAGGGACGGATGGTACCAGGGGCTGAAGAAAAAGGCCTCCAGTAAACTGGAGATTCAACTCCCTCCAGCTGGGTCAGCCTGCAAGTAGGGTGCCAGTGTGTGGCTGAAGATACACCACAACTCTTTAGCTCCTGTGGAGCCCCAGCACTGAGATGGGAACCCAAGAACCACTCAGGGGGAGAACCCTTTGAACACCAGGGGCTGTGGAAAGCTGTGGCCACTAGAGGGAGGCAAGGTTCCGCAGGACACGGTACAGCCCGGCTAAAGGTAGGTGGGAGGGATTTCAAGGTTGTTCCCTCTGTGGGCCTCCCACTCCGTTTCTGAGTTCTGGTCCTGGGATCCCTCTGCCATCCCACCCAGCTCCAGGACAAGAAGATCCCAGTTCTGCATGGGCAGAACCCATTTCTCGGCCCTGTCCTTCCTGTGTCGCTGACACGTCCTCCATTTGAGTTCAAAGAACTTGCACCCGCTCCTCAGTGCCTCTTCATTTCAGTGCGGGCATCTCATCTTTCCCTTCTCTCCTGAGTCTCCTGGCGCCTTTTCTGTTTCCCTCGGGGCACACTACACTTTCCGTTGGGCCTCTTGGTTCTCTCTGGGGTGCGTTAGACTCATTTTTCCTTAGTAACTCCTGGACTAACCAGGCCTATTCTGGTTGGAGCCACATTGCCTAACCTCTGCCCCCTTTCTCCCTCCTTACTCAGTCACCTTCTCTGCAGCCATGCCCCCCCCCCCCTCCCCCAGGTACTGGGTAGATTGAGTTACAGCTGGCTCTGCCTGGGTTTCCCAGGCCCTTCTCTCCACTTTCCCTTTGTGCCGTTGCCTGGAGACCAGTGGGTCCTGGGGGGCTGGGGCCTGAGAGGGACCTGGGGTGAGGGATGGTGGTGGTGGTGGTGTGTGTGTGATGCTCCTGAAGCTGAACTGTCAGCCTGGCCCTCAAGTAGGGGAGGATTTGGAGGGTGGAGGCCCTGGCTTTTCTCCGACTCTCCCCCATCTTCTGTTCCTACCGATGCTTACGTTTTTCTTTTAGGCTTAGATGTGTCACCATCCTCATTCGCCCCTCAGTGGTTGAAAAACGAGAGAGAGAGCGCAGCCTGGAAGGGAATTGGAAAAGGCCTCGGCCAGGATCCAGTGGGAGACTAAACTGAGAGGTGCAGAGAGAGAGGAAATGCAATAGGGAGGGGGGAGGAGGGGGAGGAGGAGTCTTGGAGCAAAGTTGGGAGGTGGGGAGGAGCAGGAGCTATTCTAGGGTACTGGGAGGGGGGCAGGCGGCTGGGGGGTGGGGGAAGTTGGCCTTGGCTCTTGAAGGCCCTGAGGAATAAGGAAGGTGGGCCCGGTGGTAAAGTGTCAACCAATTTAAGAGACAAAAGGGTGGTGTGGTTCTCTCCTGGGCCAAGGAAACCTCTTGTTCAGGGTCCCCAGTGCTTTAGAATCCGGCTGGAGCTTTTGGGTTTTCCTAGAACTTGGCTGAGCCCGGCCCAAGGAAATATGAGGCAAAATCTACTGAGCTGATACAGAGCCAACCTCCTTCCCAGAAGGCTGGCGGGATCCTGCCGTTCAGGGCCCACCCTTGGCCTCTAGCTGTCCTGGCCTCACACATACCCTACCCCCACCCCAAAGCTGGAGAGCTGTGGAGGGCTCCCAATCCAGACTCCAGCCCCAGCTCTTCCTGTTTCCCAGCCTGCCTCCCTCCCATTCTCTGGCAATCTCAGCTGCCAAAATCCAACCAGTGTCTTGGTGTCCTTTGTCCTGGGAGATGCTGCTGCTTGGTGTGGGGCAGGGAGCCAGCCCAGAAGAAGACACTGGTGGTGGGCTCTGGGGTGCTGCAGGCCTCGAGGCTGAAGACGGGGAAGGCTGGCAGTGCGGAGGCTGCCTGGAGAACAGTGTGGGAGAAGGAAGAGCCGCCCGCCTGTGGCGGGGGTTGTCTCCACATTAGAATGATTGGGATTAGGGAAGCGGGGCACCTAGGGATTTGGCTCAGTTTGGAGACTAATCCCTACCCCATCCCTTCCCTGGGGCCCAAAGTCCCAGTGATGACTTCAAAGGAGACACCTCTAGACAGAGGGCGAGGATGGTGGCCCACTCCTCCGAATTAATCTCTTCTCTACACCAGAGCTGCCCGCCCCGTTCCTATCATTCCCTTCTCCTTTCCCTTCCACTGTCTTCTGCATCACTGACCTTCCCGCTTCCATACCCGCCACCAAAGGCCTTGTTTATCTCACCTGCCCTTCCAATCCTCATGCCCCTCCATTCTATCTACCTGGTCTTGCCAACCAAAATCCTCAGCTCTCCAGGAAACCCTCCACCCCCAGGACCCAGCCATCCCTGTGGTCCACCCTCCTTTCCCACCCAGCACCCCAGCACCCCTAGAAAACGCGCCTGGCCCCGCCTCCGTCATCGCTAAGGTTTCTCATGCATTCCTTTCTCCGAGCTGACATCTCTGAACTTGTCTCTCCATCACCCACAAATTCTTGTTTCCTATTCTTTTCCCAACACCAGTCACCCCCAAACTCTGCTCTCTTCCAGAAACCCCGTCCTCCTACGTGTCTCCCATTCCTTCCATTTCTTCCCCACCTTATGGCCCCAAACTTCCATCCCACTCTCGCACGATCGCCTCCCCAACCTCCCCCCCCATGTCTGCCACAGACGCCTCCCCCCAGCTTCTTTCTTCTCGTCACAACCTCCCGGGCCCGAAGCCCCCGCAGCTCAGCTTCCCGGTCTCCTCGTTAAGGCTAGGCAATCCCATAGGAAAAGTGTCCTGAGTCTGGTTTCTGAAATACTTATCTAGTGGTCATGAGACATAAGGCCCACTTCCCAAGAAACTCTTTACGTTCTCCTGGTGAACCTAGACTCAGCTTCTGCCCTCTCAGGACTATTTCAATTTTCGTCTTCTGACGCTGATCTCAGATCCAGGCTTCTCACTTCTGCCATACAC